GCCTCCACTGAGATTCGAATTTCTAACCTCTCTTTAGAAAGTAAGAGCCTGATACCGCCAGGCCAGAGGCGTGTTGGTCATATCTTATTGTCAGACAAAGACTTCAATTTTCATTCTCTCATATTGACTCGTTCTCTTATATCAACAAATATGATATATTTGGACAAGCCTTTTCAAACTCATTTTATTGACAAAATCAAACTATTCTACTCACATACTTTGTCTTGAGTGAGTGCTTCAATCATCTAGTTATTTGATCTAAAAGATAGACTCAATAAAATAATAAATTAATAAGAGAAATTGAAACAGTATCTCACCTATATAGTATTTTGCTTGTCCAAACTATTCATTTAGTGTGCTTGTGTAAATTTTTTGTTTTTCCAAATTGTACATTTCTTTAGCTCAAATATAACCATCAAACAATAGTTGTAACTGTTGTGTAACAGTAGTGTATATATATATAGAGAGATATATATATATATAATACTATGATATTACTATTTAAATATTATACAGAATTATAAAATTATAATTATAAATGAGAATAATAATAAACTACATATATAAAGAACCTGTTAATATGCCGATGTACGTTAGAATTGGATTCTATTTTCTTAAGACAGATTCGCTCTCCTATGTGCTAACCGACTCTGTAGCGTCTATTTCCCAGGATATAATGACATTTCTTTCTTCGGGCAGCACTTCAAAATGGAGAAATGGGTCAAACCAGCTCGATGTAGTACTCTCTCTTTTAAGACCAGACTCTAACTTATACTATACAGAACTATGTATACAAAGAAGAAAGCAGGTAGAGAGACAAAGAATGCAAAGAATTACACGGGAATTATTTTTTGGAATGAATTATTGAATTATGGTAGCCCAGTGAGGTATTTATAGCCAAAATCATGCCTCTTCGTGACCAGACAATCATTCAATGCAATGGTTGTAAATGTTGCCTTACAACTGGCAATTCACAAACAAACAAGTCTTTTAACCCACAACTGTCATGCTTTTTGGTTGTTATCGATCTTCTTTGGCAGGCGTTCTTTATACATCGGCAAACATGACAACATGTATCATCCATGTTTCCTATCAGACGATACGTTAAAAGATGGATAGAGACTATATACGTAACTGGGCTTTGCATGGAACCTTTACACCAAGGTATTCACATTGTAGTTTAACTTGATATACATACATCCAAAATCATATTCACATTAAATGTAATATACATGGACATCCAACCAGTTGGAGGCAAGTTTCATTCGCATTTAAAAACACTAGTTTCAAAACTAATATCCAACAGTAATGATGAAGGTTTTATTTTTATTATTTTATTTTTACATTTTTTTCAAGACAAATTTTTTATTTATTAGAACAGATAAAAATTAATCACAATCTCTAATTGCCATCTCTTCAATGAAAGCAGGAAAAACATCTAAATAACAAATCATGGCTTTATGTTGAAAATTAAATTGAGCAACATTATGAGCCATATGGCCCATACTATTTGCTTTTCTCTTGACCCATTCCATTCTCCAATCGCTATGCCATGCAACTGTAGAACATCATGAATGTTTTCATTAATTGAAGTAATACTTACAACAATATTGTTTTGGTTGAATAACTAAACTGCAGTCCCTCTCTCACCACTTCTATTAAATCCCATTCTTCTGTCTAGTACTTTAAGAAGTGAAGTGTGTTTACATCCTTATTTTCGCCCATTGAAAAGCAGACACGTGGAAGGAGTTTTCGGTCAAGCCAATTTCTGACACATGGAAGGAGTTTGGGTCAAGACCAATTTCAGGGAATTTCAAGTAGAGGTGGCTGTCGGTTTTGTTTTAAAACAACTTGTCCATTAAATGAAGACACGTGGGGCATGGTTATGGAAGGTCTATTATATACAAAAGCAATAACTGATTTTAAAACCTACGAGGATAGGGACTTTGAGAGTTGGAAAGTTATTAAGAGTCCATCACTAAGAAAAGCCACGTGTAAGGAGATTCACTCAATCAATAGAACGAGTCAGCTTTGGGGAATTTCAGCATACAAATTAGAGTGCCTAAAAGCATGGAAGTTGGTTTTCTTCAAAAACTACGATACAACAAAGCTCTAACAATTATAACGTGGGCCACTACTACCACCATCCTGAAAAGGGGTAATGGCCATTGCTCAGACAAAAGAAATCGGTGTAATTTGTTTAGGAAATACAGCATCAAAGGCACGATTGCATGGTTTGGACACGTGGATGCTTCAAGAGAAATGAAGGGGGTAATGGGGACACACGGTGTAAAGATATCCAGTCCACTTGGAAGCATTTGAAGACAGCAATAGAACTGCTTGGAACTGCTTTGTTAACTGTCATTTTCATAGTTCTATAAATAGGTCATTATGTTATTACTTAGAAGGCCTGTCAAACACACAACACATACAGCATTTTCAATACAAATTCTCTTTTTACAATGCTCTTTCAACATGTTTAGCCTAGGTCCTGTACTTTACTTTACATTAGATAGTTTTATAATCAATTCAATTACTTTCATAAGTAACGTCGTTCTTCCTAGCCAGTTAATATTCACGAAGTGCTTTTTCAAAGGCAAAAAGAACCATTAGGTGTTCATTCCAAACCTCATTACAGTTGTCTGGTCTTGCAATCTTCCTTCTGGAATATTGTTTGGATCTCTTTGGAACTACAGCAGTTCCTGAAACGCCCACCCACCACTTTTATAGGCTAAACAAAGTGCTTATAATAGAAAATTGGAACAAAAGATAGTGTTTTATTTATTTTTATTTTTTTTACTTCTCCAAATAAATGAATCAATAAGTGTCCCATTATTAAGAGAGGAACCTCATTTACTAAGAGCATCTTCAGCGCCTTTGTTTTTCACGATATTGGCTCATAAATAGCTACTCAATTACTCCATTATGGGTCACATTTTTTTGATCAGGGTCGTTAAAAAGAGGGACTCATATGGTGATTGCGGACCCGCATTATTTTTTTAATTTTTTTGTGACCCAAAACACTATTGCCTAGAACCACAGTAGTCCAAAAAGTCATTTTAATTTTTTTAAAAATATATTAAAATATTAAAAAAAAAAATAGAGCGAAAAACTACAAAATACTGACGTGACTTTGAAAAAATAGTGACGTGACGAATCTGAAGAGCCAAATTTAAAGATGTTATTGGAGTTGCTCTAATGTCCTTGCACCCTTGATAGGTTGCATTTTATCTTTCACTAACCTATTAGCGCATGTTAATTCATGTCCAAATGCTTGATAATTTCATATAACAATATGTAACTTAATTAATTGAATAACATAGCTCAAATTAAGTCTTAAATTTAATTTCAGCTCCGAATTTCATCACAACCGAGAACATAGAAAGTGAGAATATTTAATGCATAACAGTTTACCGGCAATAGAATGTTTTAAGGGATTATTTAAAGTACGACACCTTAACTTGGATACATTACAAATTCGAGCAAGTCCAAAAAGATCGAATGGATGAAAAGTTCCCTTTTTGATCCTCTCAGCCTCTGTATTGGTAGCTATACTTGATATATTGGTGCAGAGAGAAACTGAGTGTGGTCAGCGGTGGTGGTGGTGGTGGTGGACGGTGGGGATGGAGGTGGGTGGGGGTGTGGTGGTGATGGAGGTGGGCGGTGGTGTGGTGGGTATTGGTAATGGTTGTAGGTAGTATCAATGGGTCGGTGGCCTAGTAGTATCAGGTCCTTACTTTCTAAAAAAAGATTAATAGTTCAAACCTTAGCGAAAGCATATTTGTATGAGTACCAAAAGAAAGAAAATAGTTGCAGGAGGGTAGAGAAAGTAGAGAAAGTAGAGAAAGAAAGGAGGTGGTTGGAAAATTAAAAAGTGATGAGGGTAATTTGGACCCAAAAAAATATAATTCCTTATTCGGTGATTATTTTAGTTTAGTAACTCTTCCATTCATATACTATTTGGATGCAGTCATTTTTATACGTATACCAAGTTAAGTAGTCGTATTTAAATTTTCCGATGATCCACCTATAGACTACCCCGCACCACTTTATTCATTTTATTTGTTTGGTGGAAATAGTTTTTAATACATAAAAACAAAACACACCCATCTCGACACAGGCAAACTATATTATACTTCCACCTATTTTTTGATTGCCTCAAAAGAAATGTCTCCATTGAAAAGTCAAACCACTATTTTTAAATATATATATATATATATATATATATATATATATATTACTAATTCTACCCTTTTGTATTGAACTTAAAAATAAAAAAATAAAAAATCATGACAATACTTAAAACCAAAAAAGGCAATTTTTGGTTTGGGGGGGGACTTTTCAAGAGTTGTGTTGAAATACATGCATTTGTAAAAAAAAATATTAGGTGAGCCGAACATTCCATGCCATTGGTATTGCCTGATTAATGAAAATCTATCGTATAATGAAATAATAAAAATTACTATTGACAAATTGATTTGTTATATTTCCATTGATCCAACTCTTCAACCAAAGAGTTGAATTGAAACACATGCATTCGTAAAAAAAGATATTGGATGAGCCGAATATTCCATGCCATTAGTATTGCCTGATTAATAAAAATTCATCATATAATGAAATAACGAAAATTACTATCGACAAATTGATTTGTTATATTTCCATTGTTACAAAGATGTAAGATGCTCGGCTCATTTATATTCTTCCAGGCAATGCATGCATTGGTAATCACTCTTTAGGACCCACCATATGTGGTGGGTCCGTTAATATAACATGAGATTATATATTGATTAAATGACACGTAAGTAACATGACTGAGTTAAAATATTTTTACTTATATAAAATGGTATAATTGGTTGATATCACCAATGGTGACCTAAAAATCATTATTTTATAATGTGGTTAGAAGTTGAGATAAAAATGAAAGATCTTTTGATTTGGAATATGATTGTTATTTTATTTCCTTAGTTAGAAAATAAGAGTCCGAATGAAACTTATGAAAATTTTATTAAAGTGATAGAACGGCTTCCGGTGTACCGGTGTTGCCCTTAAAAGCCATTCCAAACACCATAAAAAATGACTTTTGCCCTTAAAAGCCATTCCAAACAGGATCTTATAGTAGCCTTTTGTTTTTGCTTCAACATTTTCATGGCTCTTCCAATCCACTCCTATGAATCGTAAACGAGGGAACATTTGACTCTCTCTCTCTCTCTCTAGAAGCTCACGAATCAGGCATCGCGACAATACGAATGATAGGCAAGTGAGTTTTTCAAGCATCAAAGTATAATGGGCTTAACTTGACAGTTCACTCTAAGATTCTTTCCCTAATTCACATATTCATGATGAGTTTAATTTATTCTGAATAGTCTAATACACACACATACATATGGTATGAGTTTTTTGGTTTTTGTTTGAAATCTTAGTTGAAACCCAGTTCAGCTTTATTGATTTTATATGTAAATGTGGAAAGAAAATTGACACATGATAACCCCCCCAAAAAAATCTCAGCCACCAAACAGATTGCAAAATAATTGAATAAGGAAATACCCAGTTTAGTATCAACAGATGACACACACATGCATATGGATATTATGGTATGAGTGTTTTGGTTATTTTTTGAAAGATTAATCAGAACCCAGTTCAGCTTATTGGATATATATGTCAATGTGGAAATAAAATTGACATATGATACCATTCAACATTTTGTTTTCTTTTTTTCTTTTCTTTTTTTCATTTTTCTCAGCAACCAAATAGAGGGCAAAATAATTGGATAAGGAAAATACCCAGTTTAGTATCAACTAGTGACTGAATTTGATTTGAAATTTTGTTCGTTTGGCATTGATTGTTTAAAAGATTTATAATTTAGATGAGATTTATTGTTGCAGTTCATTGGTGGGATGCTCAAGGAATCACAGGAAGCTCTTGCCTTGCAGTAAAATGCTCTTTGAATACACACTATTTTCCAATAGTTGCTTCATAATCTGCTGTTTTATTGTTGAGTACTAATCATTTCCAGTTGTGTATTTTTTGTCATCCTCCATAACCGTTTGTTTATTCTTAGATTAGACTACATTTGTTTTGAATTTATACTTTCTTTTTCCCCTTTTTGCTAATTTCAATTGACTTACTTAAATCTTACTCGGATCAACTCAACAACGCTTTGTCCTAACTTTGCATAGTATAACTTCATTGGAAGTGGTTGTCATTGGCTTCGGTTCAAACCTCAGATTTTAGTTTTTAAGAATATAATCAGCAAAGGGAAATAAAACAAAATACTTCTCGAATAAGTCTTTAAATAACTTCAACCATAAGATAGCATTGTTCAACTTTGCACAGTATTCAAATTAATATTTAAACTTTCACTTTTGATATCCCAACAAACTATTTCACCTTCGAGAGAAATTTTGACAAAATATAGGGAAACTAATGGGATGTTAGGAGAAAGTTGGGTAACCTCTGTTCGACTGCAAGTTTTGTGAAAGTAAATATTGCTGTACTCGGATTCAAAAGATTACTGATTCTAACTCATTAGTAAATGTAGGACACAATTTTATCAGTCGTAAGTAAACTACAGTCTACTGTTACATCGATTCGATGGGGTTAGGAGAGTTTTGAAACTACAATAACAGGAGGGGAAGGGGGGTGGGAATGAAGGGAAATGATGGGGGTTTGCATGAGAAGTCTGATTTGTTTAACATCAGTCTTTTAAGAGTATCGTGGATTAGTCAGGTTTATTTTAGTTAGTTATGGAAGGACCATGAGACTTTGCTTGTGCTACCCTTTCAATGTAATACAATGAACTGCACTATAGCAAAAGTCATTGCTTTGCGATTGGTTTTTTAATACAACTGATCTTCTTTCTTTTTTATTGTCTTGATGTATTACTAAATAGTTGGTTCATAAACTTTGACGCTCTATCTTTGGGCTATGTGAGCTTGACATTGAGCCTTTAAAAAAGTATGGTATGGACCTTTGGAAACTAAGGGTATAGGGGCAGCAATACAATTAATGGAATTTATAGTTATCCTTGGATATCCATATCGCAGATTCTGCCTGTACTTGATCTCTGAACTAATTGACGTAGTGGGTAGCTTCAGGGATGTAGGGTCTATCTATGAGAATGGGAAATTGAGAATCAGGAAGCATAAGTTGACTTGGAGGAAACTCATTTAGCCATTCAGGAGATTGCCAACTTTTGGTTCTTATCAAAGAGACGGATTCACTGTTTTTTATTATGCTCAGAAATGGAACATAGCTGCCACTACATGGGCATCCATTCCATTGTAAAAAGTAGTCGCGATCTTCACGTCAGTTTGATTAAACAGGAAGCTCATTGAGCAGCAATTTAGGCAATATTTCAGTAAATCCTTCTCAATGGGCATCTTCTCCTCCCTCTATTTGGATTTGTCCAGAGATGGCTTTGTTGTTTGTAAGATGTGTTTGTTTTTCAAAATCTGATCTTTTTCTTTGGGCCAAAAAATAAAAAGACAGAGAGAGAAGAAAAGTCTCTCTACTTCTCTGTAGCTTCACCTCTTAATGCCATTCTACTTGTCAATTATTATTATTTTTTCCAACAGCAAGTGGGGATGGGAGATAGCGCCAGTGTTTAAACTTGTTAGGAGACGCAAATGATTGCGTATTATGTGTATTACCAACATGCCTTACCAGCTAAGCTAATTAGCATCTTCAGATTCTACTTGTTATATCTTATCAAATATTATATCTTAGTATAAATTGTTTTTTTTTTTTTTTTTTTTTTTTTTTTGCTATATTATTTGCAACCACTGAAATTGTAAAGTTTGATCTTTATATATTTTTGCAGCAGTGTGTAGCTTTATTTAGAAGTGGAAAGAAGCCATAGCTTGAGATGTTTGCTTTGCTTCTCTAAATTGCAATTCCAAAGCTTTTGTTGCTATCCATACAGTTGCAGGTATATATATATATATATATATATTGTGTGTGTGTTTGGTATTTATATAGGACCAAAAACCTCTCTCTGGAGTACCAGTTATATTGTGCAAATTGTATCATTTTAACGATGAAAGCAAACTGGGTGTATGAGCGTTGGTTTTCACTATTAAATTTTGAGACAACAACATTTTTATTGTTTTTAAGCATAATCTTTCTCAATATTATATTTTGACACTGACAACATATATAATAATTCTTTTTGAACAAGTAGAAGTTCTACTAATAGTAATATTTGGAATAATAAGTTTCTGTATATTTATGACTTCTTTTAGATTTTAAACCACTAAATGTTATGTATGTATAAATTGGAATTTAGAAACAAGACTAAATTGCTTTAAGAAAGAGGTCTAGAAACGCTAGTCACTAAATTAGATCATGCATATCTAATAGCAAAAAGACTTAGACCCGATGCGCTAAGAACATGGGAGTCCAACTAGTGGGAGAAAATCATAGGTTGTTATATTGTCATAAATTTCCATTTCTTTTTAGCTTTTCCTTCTATTTTATTCTGCCAAACGGGGAGCCTGAACTTTCACCATGCACCAAGCAGACAGCAGATGTTGTAATTTCACTACTACGTGTACATGTTCTTTTTCCCAACCAAGCACCAAACCACTATCTGCACACCCCCAACGACTGTAACCCGATTCCAAAGGACTGAAAACTTGCGGTCATTGTGCATTATTATTAAAACAACAGCAGAAGCTAAGCCTAAGTGAGTTTGCCCTAGAGACAACCTTAATTCAATTGTTTGCACTTTGCAGTTGGGAAACACTCCCTCTTTCTCTATAACATTTGAAAGAATCTGCTTTTGGAAAATTTTCGGATAAATAGACATAGAAATCCCATTTGATTGCAAAGGGATCCTGAATTAGGCATGTAACCAAGTGGATTTCACAAATCAAAATTGGAAAGATATGCGCACCACTTATCTCTCCCTGGCTATTTGAACTTTTGTTTTTCTATTGCAATTAATCCAACCGAGCTACAATAATAGTTGGTCAATAAGAACCAAATAGGGTTAGACTAACTTCTGTAGAATATATAGTGGTTTTTACCTCAATTATAATATCAATGTTCATAGTGGAAATTCTAGGCTTTTAATCTTTTACCTGCAGTGTCTCAAAATAGTATAATACAATTGGATGCTTGTGAATAGACTGTGCAGAAACAAATAAATGGTGCTCTTTATTTGAGTGCAACTGGGTCTGTTCCATTTTGCAGATTGGGGTTTGGGTCGAGCACATATTTGTTATTACACACTAGTTATTTAATCTTACTAACATAATGCTCCCTTTAGTCATTAGCATGTATAGCAGTTATCAATTAGGCAAAGATGGTGTAATGGATGCCCAGAAAGCTGAAGCTTCTATACTGGACTGGAATATTGAGGCAAAAGAAGAAGAGGGACCATCTTGAGGTGATGTAAAATATTTAAAGATTTTATACTCTTTGTTGATTGACCATCAAGTGTCACATTTGAGGATTGGTAGCTATTTATTGGGTAGGATGATGAGGAATTGTTAATGGGTGCATTGTTGAGGTGTCTTACCTCTTAGATTTTCAGCACTAGGAAACTGAAGTTCAGGCTGAGAAATCTTTGAGGCATACATTGAAAATCCAGTTATGTCTCCTTAGTAGGATTAGGATATCTACAGTATTTGCACGTCAACTTGTGCTCTTCTGTGAATGGAATGACATTGCTCCACTTGTACTGACAACTCCAACGCTTTTCAACTTCCATAATTAACAAATGAAGCTGGGGCAGATCTCTCGTAGTTTGTAGTATTTGGTTTAAGTATGGTGTTGCCCATGATTCAAGTCTTGAATGAGAATTTGCAAACAAATTGCACCCGGAGCTTCTCAAGTTAGAGCTTTAGGCCACACAAGAACCCAAATAAATTGGCCTATTTAACTTTTCCTTCTTCATTTCTCCTCTCTCTCCCTCCCTCCCTCCCCAGATTGCATACTAGCAATAACCAGTCTATGTGCTCACGCAAATGATCAAGTTCATTTTATATGCTCTTGATGACAACAACATAATATGATAATGACACCTCTCCTGGAGAAACTATGACTAGATTTCCATTGAAGTTCGTATGTCAAGTTGTATTTTCTATAATTGACTACGAACAAGTAGAATCAATTAGCTCTGCTGGAAGTTGCTCATAGTGACGAAGGTGTGTTGAGAATAAAAGCTCAGACATAATGAAAGATTATCCTCTTGCTACTTTATATTGTAAATCCGATTTATCAGCCTCCAATTGAACCATTAGATGTCTACAAGAGTGATAGGCAAGATCATTTGATTCAATTAGGATTCATGATCATAAATTGCACTCCTGATTATCCAGAATAAAACCCCCATTATTGACTATCCAGGGAACTATAAAATAGAATTCTTTTTATCTGGTTTACTCTTACTAGATACACTGTTGCTTTCTACACTTGTGACCCATACTGCATACAACCACGATAGGAAAACAACTTGGAATGTCTGAAGTATCAAAAAGTGCATGTTAGTCTCCAAAGTTCTAATCACTGCATATACCAGGTCAATGATCCCTTAGGCAATATCCTAACCTGTGCTTCTATATTTATACTTTTTTTTCCATGTTTTTCATTGAGGAAAAAAGAAGGGAAAAGTTCGAATTGCAAACTACAGCTACCCCGTTTTAGAGGAAGAACATTATGGAAGCCATGCACATATCCAAAGATAAAAAATAAAAAATAAAAAAAGGGAAAAAGAAAACCTAGGACTTCCTTGACAAGAATTCACCCATATAGCATGGAAAAGCAGGTCGAGCAGCTGCTTGAATCAAGCAAATATGTTATTTTACAGAAAATGTCCTATTCAGCTTCCACAAAAACACATTCTGGCGAATTAGATCAGTCATTGTGTAATCAGCAGGACAAGGTACTCCCAATTGTATGTTGCTTCAGTACCCTTAGTTAACATCCATTCTGTGTGGCTGGTGACAAGGATCTGGTCCCTCTGTCGTATCTTATATATTATCATATTATCTTATTATGGTTTCTTATGAGTGATGTTGACCGCTGTTATTAACTTGCACAAATTTCAATAGTTTGCTCGAGTAGAAAAGAAGAACAATAAAATGTATGTTCTCTCAACTTCAGCATTATTTATGTAGGAATCATTACATTATCATAAGATCCTTGAAAGCTGTTATTCCATTATAATTCTTGGTAAATAAAACCTCACTGTGCATGATAGGTAAATTTCATTTGAACTTTGCAATACCATGCCTTGTTTGGTAGTAATTTTTTCCTTTGAGCTCTCGTTGAAATTTGTTGATTTTCTGATTTTCACCATAAATAATACTTGAAGATGCTTATTATTATAATGGGTGAAGTATTAATGTTCAAAACGACGCAGGTGTTCTCCTCCTGTCTGAAGTGTTTGCTTGTCTTTCTCTGGAGGTGCCAGAGCTTACATTTTTCAATGGAGGAGAGGGTAGAAATAAGCGAAGAGACCAGGAAACTTGCATCTATAGACTCCCTTCTGCAGTGGAGCCAATGGCAGTTGCTTGATTCTATTCTTCCTACAGGTGGCTTTGCTCATTCTTTTGGTCTTGAGGCAGCAATTCAAGCTCGCACAGTCTCTAGGCCCGAAGATCTTCAAGCTTTCGTGATCAATGTGTTGGAGAATTCTGGAAGCCTTTTTCTTCCTTTTGTTTATTCTGCAATCATGTCTCCCGATATGCAAAACTGGCATAAACTTGACAAAATTCTAGATGCAACACTGACAAATGAAGTGGCTCGTAAGGCATCAATTGCTCAAGGATCTGCACTAATAAGAGTAGCTGCATGTGTGTTTTCGGAAGCCCCTTCTCTCAAAATGATGAGAGATGCATCTTTAGGTACTGGAGCTGTTTCTTTCCACCACGCTCCCATCTTTGGCCTTATATGTGGACTTCTTGGGTTGGATAGTGGAACTTCTCAGAGGGCTTACATGTTTATAACAATGAGAGATGTTATTTCTGCTGCGACTAGGCTGAATTTGGTCGGACCCTTAGGTGGAGCAGTGTTGCAGCATCAGATTGCGCTTGTTGCTGAAGACATGTCAAAGAAATGGATGGACCGTTCGTTTGAGGAAGCATGCCAAACTACTCCTTTGCTTGATACGGTGCAGGGCTGCCATGGCTACTTGTTTTCCAGACTCTTCTCCTCTTGAAAGCCTTTAACGAAAAGCCTAATTAGTTTTTGCTTTCATCAACTGAGCTGATGCTTTTGGTGTTAGGTTGCTCACTTGTAATATTCCAGCATGATGGCACCGGTTTTTGCCCTTAAAAGCGGAGTGGGTGCTAGTTGTTAGCATTGGCCTCAACCCATGAAGTTTGTTGAACATCAATAAAATGATCTCAGCATGTTGAAAACTCAGTGACAAAGATTCAATGCATTCCATGAGTGTGCGCGCGCGTGCGTTTGCTTGTTCATGTACTGTAGCTTCTCTTTGATCTTATGGGAAACAGAAGTTATAGCAAATGTAAATGTATTTCTTTTTATAGGATTAACTTGACAAAGGTTGTTTAAGTGTTGCATGTGTGAAGTGAGATTGTTGATTTAACATGGAAATTTCCATGTGGTCCATTTTCAAACTTTATATAGCTAATGGAAATACACAGTTTCTGTCAGGTCAATTACCCTCTCCTTCTATTGGGATCAAGGTTTCAGCAGTACAGCATTAAAGTTCTAAAAAGATTAAGCACACCCATAGGTTTTGCACCTAGTTGGTTTTTTATTCGGTAGATTTTGTACTTGATTATTTACTTTCGACTATTTAAAACTAGAGTTGTATCCTCTCGAGAGAGGTCCGGTGCACAATCAATGATAGTGATTGTTACAACTAAGTGGGACTCATTATCATTTGGTTTGACTTATTACGCCCAACATTGCATTGGTTGGTGCACCGGAACTCTCTAATACAGACGATTTTAATTCTTCGACTAGTTACACTTTTTTTTTGAGTTTCATGATCTCAATATCATACTTGATGGATATGAAAATTTCAATTCAATGCTTATAATAATATCTAAGAAATGCCGACATATATTAAGTGTCATTTCGCACTCTCTACTTAATTACTTTTCCATTCTCATAATTTGCTTTCTTTGTTTCTAAATCTCTTTTATTCCTAAGCAGCATGTACAAGTAATTTATATCAATTGATGCATAAGAATGTTTATTTCATACAAACATATATAGATGTGTTTGTGATAAAAATGTAAAAATGATATCTAAATATTTATGTGGTAAAATTGATATAAAATCAATTAAAATAAAAAAATTTACCAAATAATAAAATAAGTTACCAATTAAAATAAATTCTATAAGTTACCAATTAAAATAAATTCTATTATACCTAGAATTCTTCAAGTTAAAACAACTTTACTTTTTTTATTTCATTATCCATATCTATATCTATTTATTTATTTATATTAAAAATATTTATTAATTGATATAAAATAAATTAAAATAAAAAATATATATCAAATAATAAAATAAATTACCAATTAAAATAAATCCTATCATAAAAAGGCTAGGCTCAGAACCTACGAGCGGGCCTCAAACCATTTTGGTTAACTATAATGGCGGGCCTCATCCCAAACCCGAGCCCAAAAGGAGATCTGTCTTGAGATCTAAGAAATCTCCGATTTATTTAAAGTTAAGAGTGAGAGAGTCGAAAGCAGTAGTAGAGAGAGAAACAAAGGAACGGAGAGAGAAAGAGAAGAGAGAGAAAAATGAGCAGCATAGGAACAGGTTACGATCTATCAGTCACAACTTTCTCTCCCGATGGGCGCGTATTTCAGATAGAATACGCCGCCAAAGCCGTCGATAACAGTGGGTCTGTTCTCTCTCTATATGGTCATATATTCTGATTCTAATTCGAGTTTATATGTGTATAATTATATATGTTGTAATTGATTGTAATCTGCTTGTCTGTTTACAGGACTGTTGTCGGCATAAAATGCAAGGATGGAGTTGTTATGGTGAGTTTTCTCCCCAGTTATTGAATTACCTTAGTATGTTTTTAGGGTTTATGTAAAGATGCCTAATTTATAGCTTATTATGATTTTAGGGTTTATTTATAGGTACGTAATTTGTTTGTTATCTGATTTTCTGAGAGCTCTTTAGGGTGTGGAGAAGCTCATTCCATCTAAGATGATGCTACCGAGTTCCAATCGCAGAATTCACTCCGTTCATCGTCATTCTGGAATGGTAAATTTCTCTTCTTTGCCATATATATGTATTTATATTACTATAATGCATTTAATACATGCAAATCTATTTGGAGGTTCTATTGGGAGATTAATTTTTATGACTAGGAATATACAGGGAAAGCGTTTTTGATGGATTATTATGTAATGGGTCTCTGAAATTTTGTCCAGATAAATAACTTTTTTGAAAACGAAAATAAAAAACAGATAGTGGGTACAATGGTACTGTATCTATATATTCAAAAACAGAATATTTAGAAAATTTCTTATTTGAGTTATGGCTAATTCATGTGCAAGGTTTGGTTTTAATTATTGGAAAAAGAAGGGAACCTTGTTTGATAAATCTTCTAATTGAAATGCCAATATGGGTTCTTGTCATGCCTTCTTTACTATGACCTCTATTAGGTCAGAAAAATGATGTAAGAGTGCAGGGGCAGATATTACTATGATTTCTGTTAGGTCAAAAAAATGGTTGCCAAACGATAATTTTCTGTGTCTTGTGTTTTTGTGGTGTGAATCAGCAGAGAAATTAAACCTTGCAAGATACTATACTGTTGTAGTTGTGGCATCAGAAAAGATACAGATGAAAATGAGCGTCTTTATATCATTAAAATCATTTTATTTTTCATAATTTAGATTGTGATCTTTGCTTGCGGTACTAGTATGCATCTGTGCTTTCTGCCTTGTGACGATGTGTCTACAACATTTGTGCCCAATGCATAACCCAACCTGTATCATTTATTTGCCCATCAAGCACCAATTGGTCTCTGACACACACTTTAAAATATGCATGCAACATTTTTTGGACCCACATACCCAAAAAAATTCTTGTAGCAGTGCTGAGAGAATCTAAATTCTTCATGAAATCCAAGATATATTCATGCCTAAGCTGAGGGTGGTTAAATTTTCATTAAGAAATCAAGCAGATTTAAAAAATTGTGTGGGTAATTGGTCAAGAATGAGGACCACCTACCAGATGTCAGCTACAGTTAACTATATAATTGAATTCTTTTTGCAAGAAACATAGAAAGATTGATAAAGAGGGATTTAATGACCATACGATTGAATTCTTTTTGCAAGAAACATAGAAAGGTAGAAAAAGAGGGATTTATTGCTTCAAGACTTCCTCTTTTACTTCATGCTTCTCATCACAGTTCTAAACTTATGCATTTTGGATTCCAGGGGGTTGCTGGATTAGCAGCAGATGGGAGGCAAATCGTTGCACGAGCAAAGGCTGAAGCAACAAATTATGAAAAGTTAGACTCTGAACCATGACTTGATCTGCAGAAAACACTTTACATAAATAGTGTGTGTGTATTTTTCATATGAAGTTTTTCTTCTAATTAGATTCTTCTGTGACTTTGTTTTATTCCATTAAAGGTTTTTTTAATCGCTTCTGTGTTTTTTTTCATCTTTTGGAATGAACATAGAGCCTTTTTTGTGTGAATATTATCAATTATCTAACATGCGATTTTGTAGATTTGTTATTTTACATTTGTTTCTAGTTGTTGATCAAGTTTTTTGTGCAGCGTCTATGGTGAACCCATTCCTGTGAAGGAACTTGCGGAACGGGTTGCTAGTTATGTTCATCTATGCACGCTCTATTGGTGGCTCAGGTCTGGTAGTTAACACTGTTTTTTAATGGATATCTGTTTTAGATCCTCGGATTTCCTTGAAAAAGAATGCTCTATTTTGCAGACCTTTTGGATGTGGTGTAATTCTTGGAGGTTATGACAGAGAAGGACCACAACTATACATGGTCGAACCTTCTGGTATTTCATATGTGAGTTGGTTATACTTACAGCTTCAGTCTTTTTTTCCTATGATTCCTACATTTGCATGTATGCTAAACTGACTTTGTTGCCTTCCAAAATTTTGATAGAGGTACTTTGGTGCAGCAATTGGGAAAGGAAAGCAGGCCGCTAAAACGTAAGTTTATCACAATCTTGAGAAGAGCCATTCTTATAGATTATGACACATGGACCTACATGACATGATTAGAGTTATTTTCCACGCAATCTATTCTTTCTGATCATTGTAAAAGTAGTTGTAGAATTGTTGTTTTTGTCATAACTATCAAACAGTATATGGTACCCGAGTGAGGATCTCTCTCTCTCTCTCTCTCTCTCCGGTTTGTTTTGTATTGTGTATTGTAAGATGCATAGATAAATTAGAAAAAGAAAAATTTAAGCCTACTTGCTATAAGCATTTCATAGTAGAGATAACCACAATATATGACAAAAGTTACTACAAGTTTTCAAGAAAAATTCTCATTTCTAACAATAGTTAAAATATCAGTTCATGTTGACTTCGTAATATATCTCCTTGGCGCTCTTTAACAAAATTTCTTTTCAGAAAGAAAAAGAAAAGATTGGACTTCATAGCATTTTGCCTATAATAATATTTTTAGTATATCTCTTTGAAAAATAAACCTGTACCTTAATATGTACAATTTCTCTTATCTAAAATTATGTATAGTTATTCATATGTCATTTAATCTTTAAATTTCAAGTTTAAACCTGCAAGCTATGATAAACCCTTTAATTTGATGTTTAATTTTATCTCAAACTCAAAAGTGTGTCTAATGTTTATATAAAATAGTCAAAAGAGAAATAACATACATAATGTAACATAAACATGTACTATATTTTGAAGCATGTAAACACTAAGAAAAGGAAGATACATTTGTACGAGAAGTGTTGTTTCTTGTGTATATGATATTATATTTTACAATAATTTTACAACTATTGTTATAATTGTCGAGTTAGTCTCTGATGGTGCCTACTTTCATGTGAAACCATATTCTTAATCTGAGAAGTGACCTTTTTTCTGCTATTTATTTTCATAGAATCAACGCAGGATGGGTTAAAGGGAGGAGTGCATCTAGTATATTGTGTGATAGGTGTATCCCCTTACAATTGAAGTTCTATCGAACAACTATTGCACAGAATGTTGGGCAGCTAGGAAGCAACATATGCATAAAGTGAGTGTGGCGGAAATTGGAGGTAAAATGAGAGAGAATCGGTTAAAATGGTTTGGACATGTGCAAAGAAGTCCTTTAAGTGCACCAATTAGGAAGAGTGACAGTCCATGTTGGGGGAAATACTAGGGGGAGAGGAAGAACTAAGTTAGCGTGGGTAGAGTTAGTAAGGTTTGACCAAGGCATTGACCTTAGAGTGGAATGGAAACATAGGATTCATGTAGCCAACCCCAACCTAAGCCAACCCCAACTAGTTGGGGAAAAAAGCTTGGTTGTTATTGTTGTATTTTCTGTCCAAGTAATTTGTGGTTTTATATGTTTTGATGAGTAGATATATCTTGTATAACTGAAGTTACTGGTCTGTAGTTGTGTTTTTGCACATTTTCTCATGCTAATATGCTTATGTGATGTTGCCTTTGGCATGAACAGAGAAATCGAGAAGTTAAAGCTCTCTGAAATGACCTGCAGGGAAGGAGTTATTGAAATAGCCAAGATGTGAGTGATTCCTGGCTTCATTTCTTTTGGCTATTTTATAGGAATTCCCTTGTATTCTAAAGATGGGTTTTTCTATCGGAAGTTTCATATTCTGAATATAACAATTTTTTTTTACAAATATATTTGTTTTTATTAGATTCTGTTTTCTTCTATAAGAAGATTCATATTCTGCATTCAACTTTTTCTTTATTTATTTTTTCCCCAAATTTATGTATTCGTACTATATTCTGCTTTCTTGACAGTCTTCGCATAGTTGCTTTTCATGCATTTTTTAAATTTGAAGTTACACTAGCAGGCCGCGGTAATAACTCGGGTGGCAAGCATGGGAACTCAGATTCAAGTCTGAATGCTGTCACTTTGTGTAAATAATACCGTTCACTCCTCCCAATGATCTTTTGCACTTGATTACTAGGGAACAACACTTTTTATTTTTTAGCATGTCAATGTTTTGTTGTATGCACATACTTGTTTTAGCCCATATTCCATCATCAATTACATGCCACACTGCCCATGTGGTCTTTACCATATGCTCATATACTGATACTTGGCAGCTGAATTTGATTTTCTTCTGTGTTTTTATTTTTTATTTTTTAATGTGCCTGAGAACTAATGTGAGTTATAATGTACATAATTTACTGTCAAGCTGGTGATGCAGATATTCTTCCTTATAGTTAGGGTTCATTACAATGTCATGCTTATCATCTCATAATATAGCAATTCTTACTGAACAGTACCGCATTAATGAAAACATATTATGCATGGACACAGATACTAGGTACATGTACGACATGTTACATACACAATGAAATGGTGAGTTCTTAAAAACAGGATGTAGTTACAACAAGGATACAACAATATATACATATATATCGCATGTATGTAAACACGTAAAAAAGTTGTAATATATTTATCTATATAAATGCTAATGTACTAATTGTTTGTAATGTTAATACATTTAATATGACTAACATTTACTTGTAAAATATTATGCCAAAAAGATTTTTGATGTATTTTTAACTTCGTCTTAAGAACCACATAAAAATGTGGAGCTTTATGTCGCATGGTCAAGTAATTTGGATTTGATTAGACATTATATATGCTCATATCAAGGCAGGAGGTTGGATTCAATGCTTAGTTTTCTATCCCTGCCCTTCCTGGGTTGGTCAATAATTTAACTTTTGGGTAAACATAGATCCTAGACCGAGTTTAAGCAGCATCACTAGAGGAAGGAGTTGATGAGGTTTTTAGACTCAAAATTTGCTGTGGATTGAAACACTTATGCTTTTCCTAACAATTTTATTATGATAATACTCTAAAAATGCTACATTTTAGTGATCAAGTTGTGCCAAACATGTGTATCAGAGTATTTGAGAAGTATCATTTACGTGCTCGAAATAAAATTATATACTTTCAAATTATGGATATGTCTAGGAAGTATCAGATTCATGAGTATCGAAGGAGTATATGTATCCAAAACGGAAACTGATATGATACGGCAACTTTATATAAGCATCTGTGCTTCATAGAACGAAAACCAATGCTAGTTTTGCAGATTTTCGTGAATTCCATCTCCATCACATGGACATTTACTCCTTGCTGCTAAAATGCTAATCTATTACTTAGGCTGCCACATTTTAATGATTCAATATTTTCTACAAAACACTTGACACCTAAATTTGCTGTGGTTATTGAACATTGTTTCCTAAGTCAATTTCAGTACAAAAACGCCTATTTTGATTTTTTTTTCTACTGCTGTTTATGACTGGAATTTATTTTATTTTAAATTTTTTGTCTTACTCTTTTTTTAAGTTAAAATTTAAAAGGTTAAATATTTTGAAGTGTCCAATTATATGATTATCGTTATATGCATTTTCTTTCTTTGTTTTTGTTTTTTTCCGGTGATGGGTTATGTGTATAAACAAACTAAGCCAAGCCGAGTAAGAGGTTTCTCAGGCTTGCCTCTACTTACTGATGTTTCAGTTTGTCTCTAGCTTGACTGGTTTTTTTCTATTAGAAGGGTTTCCCAAATGGATGATGAGAGGTTGTTCTCACAAGTGCCATTGGTGTGTAGTGTTTCGGTAAAAATATGGTTTGTTGAAATTCCGATCTGGATTCCATAATGTACAATCAAATAATATCGGATCAATTTGATTCCCATAAAATATCACAAGAGGGTAGAATCTTTGTGGAATCCTTACAAGATAATTGGAATCATGGGATTATAAATTTGATTTTATTTCTGTTTTGCAGTATTTACAAGGTACATGATGAGGCAAAGGACAAGGCCTTCGAATTGGAGATGAGCTGGGTGTGTGATGAGTCAAAGCGCCAGCATGAAAAGGTAATCTCTAATGCCACCTTTTATTGGGTAGAAAAGCTCCATTTCACATCCAAGGACTGAGCCACAACTTCCCCCACCCAATTCTTTTATCAATTTGTATACCTATATATATATATATATAGATTCTTGTAATTTTAAATTAAGTTTCTTTCCCTCAAAATTCTAATAACCATGATTTAAATCAAGTATTAAACTCTTAATAACATAAATTAGGACTCAGACATAAACCTGTGAAGTAGCAGGGATGAACTGCATCTAAACTCATTTCAATTAGAAATCGCCCACACTTAAGTAAACTTCTGGCTCTTCACTGCTCACATCTTATAGGTCTCGTCTTTCATTTATTGCCAAGGGTCTTGCCTATTTAACCTCATAAAAAAGAAAGCAAACAATAAACCAAGAATATAGATTATACCTTGATTGTTTCAAATTGCTGTTTAATTCATGGAGAGTAATTATGTTAAAGAAAATTGGAGCTAGTGCTTCAAAAGTTGTGCTTAGAGTTTCCTAATTTGTCAAAATTTTAATCACTGTGAAAGTAGAATTTATTTGTTGAAGATCAAAAATTTTCACCAGGCACATGCTCAGTTCTCCCCTTTAGAACCTTTTGTGTGCCAAAACTCTCTTCAGGAGACCAAATGGCTGGTTTTGTTTTCCATCACTCGGTAGTAACACGATATTATACTGAGTTATATCTTTTTTGAGTTCCTTTATGAAATTTCATTAGACTGTTCATGTGGGAATTATGTTTTGAAAAAACAAGATTTGCTACCAAAATGGTCAAATTGATCATCCCGTCATCGAATTCCCCTCAGTCTCCCAAACCAAGACACAAGAATTCATTACAGCTAGCACAGAGAAAGAACGAAGGTTTAAAAAGAACAACTTGTCCATAAGAATTTCACGTCATAGACGATTTATTCTAAGGATAAGAGTTCCTAATTTTTTAATCAATTGTAAGAAGTCAAACCTCTATCCCCACCCTCTATTTTTAGATGCCGGGTACTTCATTTTCAGTGCTACAACATCTATGGGGCTGTGTTTGGATGGGTTGAGTGGGATTAGATTTGAAGGAAAATATGTTCCCTGTGTACCATTTAGACCGAGGCAATTTTGTCTTGGGTCTCATCGTTTGTACGTGTATATATTTATCTACTAATTATTTATTATCTGAGTAGTAATTATTTGCTTAATCTCAGGTTCCTGAAGAGCTTTTAGAGGAAGCCAAGGCTGCAGCTAAGGCTGCTTTGGAGGAAATGGATGCTGATTAATAGACCTAATCTCCAAAACTTATCTCGTTTGTCTTCCAAAGTAGCTTATCATTGTCATCCGTTTCTCCTATCTTCATTAGATGGTGATTGGCTTTTGTGCCTTGGAACTTTCCAATTAATGGCGAATTTGTACTTTTATTTTGTCCAAAATTGTATGTTGGTAAATTATAATTTGCATCCTGAGAGACTACCCAAAAGTACAATATATCAATGCAGTCATTTTTACTGGTATAGAACTATTTCTCTTGGACGAAGATGAATGTGGTGATGTTGCGCAATAATGTGTACTCTTTTTTTTTTTTTTAATCATCCTAGTTGTCTATTTATTTATACTTTGGTGGAAATTACTCACAAAAGATATTATTTATGCTATCATTAACAAATCGAGTGTAGACTTTAGTGCTTGAACCAAAGTCAATACATGTCCAGGTACATCTGGATTGAAATTTCAGTGCAATGATCAAATCTAGGACACCTTCCTTACCTTTGTTGATTGATATTCTCTGGATTCTTTGCATCAATGTTGGTGTTTGGTTTGTGTATTAATAGCTTAAATTGTCTACCACTCAAGACTTTTAGTGCCTGTGACATGTCAAGTATGTGATGACCTTGTGGGCAGGTGCGAGGCACTGGCAGGCTATTAAAATGTTGTAGGTCATGACTCAATGATTAATTCTAACACAAGAACCTTTGTAAAGAAGTCAAGCCAATTTCCTCATATTAATTCTAACACAAGAATCTTTGTCTTATACTAAAATTTGGTACGCGACTCACATAATACATCCACCAAAATTCATAATTAAATAGTAAGAAAACATTTTATTTAAAAAACTAACAATCCAAAGGAGATTTATTACATCCACCAACGTACTGATGTTTGCTAAGAAACAATAATAAAACCAAAATGTGAAAAATCCGGAAAATCTCCATCTCCCATTAGGCCACCTTTGCAAGCTAAATCCATGTGTACCTGAAAGTAATAAAGGGGTGAGCTCACAAGCTCAGTAAGAAATTACTAAACACTGTCATCGTTTAGCAAGTCAATCCTTACTTAAAATCTGTATATATATATATATAATCATTGTCATTCTATAACTTTAACTCAAACTGTGAACCTATAACCCATCTAGAATTTAAATTACTAAAATTCCACTTACCTCACATGAGCCATTGGCTCCACTCCGAATAAATGGTGTGAATTGCATAGTCCCTGACTACCAAATACACACATGTGACTGGATTATACGTCTACTCACCCGGATGGCCCCTGACCACGTACACATACTAAGGGCACCTTTAACCCAATGGCCATAATAAAAGAGTAATTCACTCCAGTAGACAGTCCCTGACTGCACTCAACAAATTTATCATTGGGTAAGTCCTAGACTACCGCTCGAACTATATCAATAATATCTATAGCCATGAATCAAAACTGTTTTTTAAATGAATTAATTATTTAATAAAATAAACCATAACCAAATGTTCAGGTATACTTAACTTAAATAATCCTTTAATACAAAGGTGGCCTCATAGTAACCCCAAAGTGTCACACTTGAAAAGTGAACTTAAAAGATCAAACCCGACCCGACACGCACTCTGATTGACCCATACTTTACGTACTCTCTAATTCTTGCATGATGCTTTTATGCTTAAAATTATGGCTCAAAATACTCCAAAACCATTACCCATAATCTCTCTCTCATTGGCAATAACTATAAATTCTTGTGGTCACCAGTAATAACAAAACTAAGAATTAATAATTCTAAATCAATATCTCTCATGAATACCCAGCTACATGTCATTCTGTAGTGGACAATTCTGTCTTTTTAATCATGGTGAACGGTGAACCCTTACCTTGCACTAGTCAGACTAGGCTAATTTGTTAGGCTACAATTAGAAATGTAATCACCACATATAGTAAATTAAGTTTCAGTCAAACCTTAGTCTTGGGCCTAACAAACTAATCCTGAAAGTCACAACCCAATTACATATCCTCAAGAGCGTCACCGTATCATCCTCTAAACTTGCCATTGATACATAACGTATATGTAACTCATATATAAAATAGTAATACCATAGATGCAAAACTACCAGTAGCCAAGTTGAACTAATTGAACAACTAATCCACATATATGTGTGCAATAAAATACCATCTATTAGATATATCTCTAAATTCTTCTAATATTTATGTACAACACATGCACAACATCAAGAGTTCATAATTCTCCCAAATAAATTCTTACACCCGATTATTAAATAATTATCTCCCAATAAATAATCTAACATTCACTACCAGTGTATCCATGTATATATCAATCAGTACTAAAAACTCTAAACAACAATATATAATTTAATCAATACATACTACTTTCATGGATCAACCCATTATTGTTCATTTATTTTTTGTACTTAAAGATTAAAATCCCAGAATAAGCATACCCACGATCATGAGGGACTACCGTGCGACATTACCTAGATCTCATGTACATATATGTATGTAATAACATATCCATGTAATCAGGAATCAATCCTTTGAACAATTTCAAGATATTTGGGCTACCTACTGAACTATCAATATTCACTTGTTATTCATAACATGAGAGATCTATCTTTAATTAATCGTTAATAGTAGCAAATTAGATTACATTACATATAAGAGATTAAAAGCAAGAATTAACTTGCCTGACTTTTCTTCGCTTCACAATAACGAACGCGTAGAATCATCGGGATAGCAACGTAGGTAAAAACTTAATACAACTATATATATATATATATATATATATATATATATATATATATATATATCCAGTGGTTGAGTTCAATAAAAATTCTTTAAAACCCGAACTAAACTAAATGATAGCGTTATCTCCGTGAAATAACCTACGTCAGATAAACTAGTCAAATAACCTAAGCATTTCTTATTGTAGCTTTATCTCCTTTATATATATATATATATATAATATAGTGTTAAAAAAAAAAATCACAGTTGTTACATCTTCCTTACCTTTGTTGATTGATATTCTCTGGATTCTTTGCGTCAATTTTGGTGTTTTGTATATATATATATATCCAGTGGTTGAGTTCAATAAAAACTCTTTAAAACCCAAACTAAACTAAATGATAGCGTTATGTATCATTCCAATTGATATGAAATCTTTTGCAGTAAAGTTTAAGAGCAAAACTATGCAGACTCAGACCCAAAGCGAACAATATCATACAATGTGGCGGAATGGATACTTACAAAGTATTTATTAGAAGCGATACAATTTAAGTTACAGAATGAGAAATAGGAGTGAGCTTGAGCGCTATACTGATAAGAAACATGTTTAGAATCCATTTTGGTACGCCTTGGCTGTTAGCACAAGACTCGAGTTTGTTTGCTTTATAAACATGTCTTTGTTAAGTAAACATGTTGAGCCTGGGCATTCTAAAAGAAAAAAGCTTGAAATCATGGAATTTTTTTTTTTTTTTAATTTTTTTTTTTAACAAGAGTTCATGACTTGACCTGTTTTTAGGCTTGAGGAGAAAGACGCACTTAGGGCTTGAGTAGAGTTGGCTTTCGTTACTTCAGGAGCAAAAGGCCGAGTGGGTCACATCACTACTCTCTTTTCTTACTGTCTCTCTTTGCACTTGAGGAGTGCTGGAACACTTGCAATCTCTGCAGCACGAAAGGAACACATTATCCGCGACGTGTCGTGGTAATATCAAACACTCGAACACGAACACACACACGACGAATTTCAAACACATATCAAACACTATTTAGAAAGTATCTTGATATTTGAATATTTTATTTTTTTAGTTTGATATGATTAAGATACCACGACATAATATAATATTTTAAAAAATAACAAAAATAAGAAACTTTTGAATTATAAGCTTCAAAGTAGTGATTTCATTAATGATTATATAAATAAAGTGAGCAAAATTTAATATTTTTTATATATAATAATATGTTATACCGAGTATGATTATTTTCAACATATTCCTATCATATCCATGTGCTATTTTTTTTTTTAGTATATTCGTATTATGTATAAATATATGTATATATATGTGTGTGTGTGTGAGAATAAATAAACAAATACTTGAGGAAGTAAAGAACTTTAAAGTTTGTAGTTATGGTGATGAGTTTCTGAATATTTATTGTCATTTCATTTATAAGAAAAATAAAAAATGGAGTGCAATTGTAAAAAATGAGAGTGCCAATATTATCTACCTATTTAAAATTGCATTGAAGCAAATTTTAATTTATTTTTGAGTTATTATTATTATTATTATTATTATTATTATTTAATAAAATAGGTGAATTGCATAAAATCCCTCGACTTGCAGCAATTGGCAATAAACTCTCTTTTGGAAGCCCAAAACCCACTCAAATGAACAAGGGGGGTAACGGACATCCATTGATGATTAACTGAACTTAAAAATGACTGATATACCCATAGATATCTTTACAATGTCATGAATCCAAAACCTCTCCCTTTTTTTTTTATACAAATAATAACTAGACCGAGGCAATTTTGTCTTGGGTCTCATCGTTTGTACGTGTATATATTTATCTACTAATTATTTATTATCTGAGTAGTAATTATTTGCTTAATCTCAGGTTCCTGAAGAGCTTTTAGAGGAAGCCAAGGCTGCAGCTAAGGCTGCTTTGGAGGAAATGGATGCTGATTAATAGACCTAATCTCCAAAACTTATCTCGTTTGTCTTCCAAAGTAGCTTATCATTGTCATCCGTTTCTCCTATCTTCATTAGATGGTGATTGGCTTTTGTGCCTTGGAACTTTCCAATTAATGGCGAATTTGTACTTTTATTTTGTCCAAAATTGTATGTTGGTAAATTATAATTTGCATCCTGAGAGACTACCCAAAAGTACAATATATCAATGCAGTCATATTTACTGGTGTAGAACTATTTCTCTTGGAGCGAAGATGAATGTGGTGATGTTGCGCAATAATGTCTACTCTTTTTTTTTTTTTTTTTTAATCATCCTATTTGTCTATTTATTTATACTTTGGTGGAAATTACTCACAAAAGATATTATTTATGACTTTAGTGCTTGAACCAAAGTCAATACATGTCCAGGTACATCTGGATTGAAATTTCAGGGCAATGATCAAATCTAGGACATCTTCCATACCTTTGTTGATTGATATTCTCTGGATTCTTTGCATCAATTTTGGTGTTTGGTTTGTGTATAAATAGCTGAAATTGTCTACCACTTAGACTTTTAGTGCCTGTGACATGTCAAGTATGTGATGACCTGGTGGGTAGGTGCGAGGCACTAACAGACTATTACATTGGTGAGTTACGGGCGTACAATCTCACATTGTCTGAGTAAGGGAAAGGTGAAGTGCTTATATATAGATGTGTCATTCAAATTGGTATGAAATTTTTTGGAGTAAATTTTAAGAGTAAAACTGTGCAGACTCAGGCTCAAAGCGAATAATATCATACAATGTGGCGGAGTGGATATTTACAAAATACTTATTAGAAGCGATACAATTTAAGTTACAAAATGAGAAATAGGAGTGAGCTTGAGCGCTATATTGACAAGAAACATGTTTGGTATGCCTTGGCTGTTAGCACACGACTCGAGTTTGTTTGCTTAATAAACATGTCTTTGTTAAGTAAGCATGTTGAGCCTGGGCATTCTAAAAGAACCGTGAACAAAGCTTGAACTCTTTCTTTTTTCTTTTTTTTTTTTCTTATTTTTTTCAGTCACTAGAGTTCATGAGGCGCACTTAGGGCTTGAGTAGAGTTGGCTTTCGTTACTTTAGGAGCAAAAGGCCGAGCGGGTCACATCACTGCTCTCTTTTCTTACTGTCTCTTTGCACTTGAGGAGTGCAGGAACACTTTTAATCTCCGCAGCACGAAAAGAACACAATCTCCGCAACGTGTCGTGATAATATCAAACACTGGAACACACGCACGACGAATTTCAAACACATATCAACCACTATTTAGAAAATATCTTGAAATTTGAATATTTTATTTTTTAATTTGATATGATTAAGATGACATGATATAATATTTTAAAAAATAACAAAAATAACAAACTTTTAAGTTATAAGATTTCATTAATGATTGTACAGATAAAGTGAGCAAAACTTAATATTTTTATATATACTAATATGCTATACGGAGTATGATTATTTTCAATATATTCCTATCATATCCATGTGCTAATTTTTTTTTTTTTTTTTTTTTTTTTAAGTTTATTCGTGTGTGTGTGTGAATAAATACTTGAGGAAGTAAAGAACTTTAAAGTTTGTAGTTATGGTAACGAGTTTATGAATATTTATTATCATTTCATTTACAAGAAAAATAAAAAATAGAGAGCAATTGTTAAAAATGTGAGTGCCAAAATTGTCTACCTATTTAAAATTGGATTGAAGCAAAAAAAATTAATTTATTTTTGAGTTATTATAATTATTATTTTTTAATAAAATAGGTGAATTGCATAAAATAGTGATTGGCAATAAACTCTTTTTTGGAAGCACAAAACCCACTCAACTGAACAAGGGGGTAACGGACAACCATTGATGATTAACTGAACTTTAAAATGACTGATATACCCATAGATATCTTTACAATGTCATGCATCCAAAACCTCTCCCTTTTTTTATACAAATAATAACTAGACATATGCAAATGATTATAAAAAATTTGTACTTTAATTATCTGAGGTACAATTTTTCCTGCAATACCCACTATTTAAAGTGGTGAAATTTCAAAACAAATATAGTTAAACTGCATTGTGCCAAAAAAAAAAAAAAAAGAAGGGTGTAGAGAATTTTAATTCCTAATAACTCATACAAAATAGGGTGTTATATGTAGTATTTAGTTATTGCACTATTACCCAATCATATACAATTTTATATTATACATGCACTTTTTAAGCTCACAAATGGAATTTGAATAAAGTGATGAGATATGTTTTTTTTCTTTTTTTAGTTAAAGAAGTGATGAGATATGTTGGTAGATAGAATTTGGACTAAAGGACAAGATTTGCTATTCTAAGTTTGGATGTGTGGGCCATCCATCGTCATAGTCATAGTAAAGTCAAACCGACCTCTTTAGTTTATTAAAATAGAATCCCCAAACTAACTTATTTTTGTCTCACTAAACTACACTTACTTTGATAAAAAGTGTCATGACAGAAGTCGAGGAAAAGAAGAACGAAATCTCAGCTCACATTTTGAATGAAGTTTGCTGAGGCTTTGCTTGGAAACACTGAAGAAAAAATATAGAATAATATTAGTGATGAGAGAATAGAATTTTTTTTTTTTTTTTTTTTAAACAAACAAACAAAACCAAAACGTTAAAAAGCAAGAGAATTATAGTAAGAGAGAATAGCGTCTACAAGCCACTTGGCCAGACATTCTACTCCAAATCAGAACATTCGGTTGCTAAAGCCTTCTTGGTCAACAAGTGAGCTATTACATTGCCTTCCCGAGGCACCCAAACTAGAGAAGAACCGGGACAAATCCTAAGAAGGGAAGAGATATCGTGAAAGACCACCATCCACGCTTCAACCGAGGCCTGCAGATTAATAACCGGAAGACAATCTCCTTCAAGGAACACATTTTGATACCCCCATGCACGAAGGAGAAAGAAGAGAAATGAAATGATAATATTTTTGTTTGGATATGATAGAGGGAAGAAAAGAAGAGATAATAACAATAAAATTATTATAATATCCTTTTAAATAGATGTGATTTGAGTCTGAGTAATAATTTTCTCATAAAAAATGAGGAATAAGAAGGGATAATTATCCCTCTCTATCTCTCACTATCCTTTCTTTTTTTTAACATTTAACCAACCAAACAAACTCTCTCAATTCTTTCTTTTTTCTCACATTTAACCAACCTAACAAACTCTCTCTATCCTTTCCTTTCTCTTCTCTTCTCTTCTCTTCCTATCACTCTAAATTTACCATATCCAAACCATCCGAAAGGATAATTTACCCGATCCAAACTATCCGAATGAATAACATTACTTGGGAGAGAAAAAAAAGAGAAAGGAGAAGAGATTATATTATTAACTACTTATTGTATTTTGTTAATTAAAAAATGAAAAGAAAAAAAATAATAGTAATCATGTTTGAATAAATAAAGAAAATAAAACTATTTTAATGAATTTGTTATCATACTCATTTTTATAAATTTTGTCTTCTATAAAAATAAAGGCAAATTTGATATTAATAAAATTTCATTAAAAATTATTATCTTTCTTTCCTTTTTCTTTCATTTCCTTTTATTACCTTTCATTTCTTTTCCTTCCATCACCCTCCAACCAAAATGATCCCAAGTCTAGTATATGACAGCACCCTCCAACCAAAATGATCGTAAGTCTAGCATATGACAGAGAGAAGGGATATGTGAGAGAAGACATTGGACGATCTGGCACAAACAAAAAATTTAAATAAAACTTACGATTTCTAAGAGCATCTCCAGCGTTTTGTAAATCTATTCAATGGTTGTTTTATAAATTCATGCCAGGACCTAAACAATTTTTACAAACTTACTTAATATATGATTAATTCTTTGATAGAATAAAAAAGAGAGAAGAAAAAAGAAATATGTTGATGTAACTGTGTAAAAAAATTATATAAAATACATAATAATTTAACAAATTGCTAAAAAAAATAAATAAAATAAATAAATAAATAAAATTACTCATTATGTGTTATAATATATATTTTACACAAAATAATATTTTAATTAAAATTATTCTAACATAATTACTTATGCGGCGCATTACTGAATCGGCCGTTGCTAAGAAATAACCTCTTCCATCTTGTGCTTGTGAGCCCCACCATCTAATAGAAGTACTTTACAGTATATCATTAAATACTTGCACAAAAGTTTCGATACCCGCTCTCTTAGTGGTAGTCTTACACCCTTATCACTACTCTTATCACTACCAGATAAGGAGTACAACTCCATCTCTCTCCCTCTCACCGTCCTTGTCGAAACATTGCTCTCATTCATCTATTACCATAAGAGCGTGTGTGTATACATATACATATACATATACATATACATATATATATATGATTGAATAATAACTTTAAAAGAGATTTATTATATTTTTCCAAATAATTCTCTTTTTTTAAAAAAAAAAAAAAAAAAAAAAATTTCGAAAATTATGTTAACGAAAGATGCTTGATAACTTTATCCCAACATAGAGCATTTAGGCAAAGAAAATGGTTAGAAGGAAGAGAGATTAAAATCTAGCTGTACAACTTGGTTTTGGAAACGGGGAAAATAAAAAATAATTTTTTGCACATTAAAGTTGAGTAAAGAATAATTTAGTATTAATCAATTTTTTAAAAAGAAACTATGATAAAAAGAATGCAAGTACAGTCCAAGAGGGGGAAAAAAGGACAACCATAAATTGAGCACTAAAAGTATAGTACTTTTATTTAAGAACTAAACTTGATGACCGGAAGCAACAACATATACATAAAAAGTCAGGTATGCATGCATATTTCTGTCTTTAACTCTCCAAAGTCTTTATCAGGATGATGCAATCTTTCAAAATACTAAATAAATAAAAATAAAAAAATAAAAACAAAAAATAAAAACCAGATACAGCGTTCACAAAAACAAAAACAGAAAACCAGACCTCTTGTAGAGAGAAAAACATACAAAGGATTTAGAATATCATCAAAATCAATCATCCACAAAGCAGAAACACCACCAATTATCCCAATAGTTTTGGTTCATAACACCAAATCGGGATGAAAACATACTAACAACCCAAACTCCTAAACAAGGGACTCTGACCAAACAAGCAAGATGATGAAGTGCAACACTAAGAAATCATGCAAACGAGAAATTAGACAACATCCAACATAAGCTAAACAATACCGAATGAACACAATCCTAATGAGTCATAAGATCTCATCAAACTTATCTGCCCTGGTTCACCTTCTGTTATAGTTTTTTTTTTAGTTTTTGTTTTTTCAAACTATAGATTTGAGTTGATCGGTTCTCACTTGGCCATCATGACCTTGACGAACTCCTCATAATTGATCTGCCCATCTCCGTCAACATCAGCCTCGCGAATCATCTCATCAACTTCCTCATCAGTCAGCTTCTCACCGAGGTTTGTCATAACATGGCGGAGTTCAGCTGCAGAAATGAAGCCATTCTGGTCCTTGTCGAAGACTCTGAAAGCTTCCTTGAGCTCCTCCTCGGAATCAGTGTCTTTCATCTTCCGAGCCATCAGGTTGAGAAACTCGGGGAAGTCAATAGTTCCATTCCCATCAGCATCAACCTCATTGATCATGTCCTGAAGCTCGGCTTCAGTTGGGTTTTGTCCCAATGACCGCATCACAGTCCCAAGCTCCTTGGTAGTGATACAACCTGCAACCATATGCATGGATTGTGTCAGAAATTTCTTTAAAAACATACTTAGTTTAGGCTTGCAAGCAAAAAAAAAAAAAAAAAAAAAAAGAAGAAACAAATCACAACATAGAACAAAATGGAGAATGCAAACTTATTAATCCAGCTCCCAAAGTTTTTAAAAACTACCAAACATCATCGTTATTTTAAAATTGCTATTAACAACAATAATGGAAAAGGACATTCATACAGGGGAGTATGTTTAAGTCAAATCTTATTCCCAAGCACATTTCCACGTCCTTTGACAAAGTAAACACAGACTCGAGAATTCTTCTACATGTCATTGAATAAATACTTAACATATAGTGTGTCAATTCTCCAACCCAAACAAATAATGCAAAAAAATAAAACAAAATAAATTGTAGGAAAGACAATAAATAAAATCATAGCTTCATCAAGAAAAAAGACATCACAGCTTTATATTGTTTATATATATATATATATATTAATGATAGATCCACCACAAAACAATGCTTGAAAATCTAAAACTTTAACTTTGTGAAGAAGATTGTATGCACACACTGGTTTTTTGTGGGTCCCATCCTCCATAGATAGTACATATCATTTCCGAAAAATGAATCGCATACACCATAGGTAGATAATAAGAGAATAAAAGCAACCACAAATAATTAGTCAAAGATAATCAAGATATTCATATAGATTGTTGCAATCAAATCAAATCGCACCAGTGAAAAATCAGAAACACAAATACACCAACGTAACTGATTCAACATTCCCATACTCATCGTATTTATCGAATATGATCTTCATTCATTAACCCATAATTAATGCAAATCTTACACATAAAATCATATTATTATATACACAAACATATTTCTGGGTTGATCGGGAGTCCTTCGCAGAAAAAATCAACAAGTAACAATTCCATTCGAACAAAAAAAATACCCAAATGGATCAAATTTCATGATGTGAATAATTAAAGCATAGAGGACCGCAAAGTCAACCCATATGGTATTAAACGAAGCAAAACCACACCAATCAACAGACAGATCTGAAAAATTAGGAGATCAAACCAGAAACCGTGTGTGTATGAGTGTATATATAGAGAGAGTAATAATTGAAAAGACGGTGGGATCGAGAGGATCTGACCATCTCCATCCTTGTCGAATAGGCTGAAAGCCTCCTTGAATTCGGAGATCTGATCGTCAGTGAGCTGATCGGCCATTCTTCTGCTGGGAGAGAGGAATCAAAATTGTAGAGAGAGAAATAGGAGAGAGAGAGAGAGAGGGGGGAGGGGAAATGAAGAGCTATGTCTGAAGAAACAAAATGGGTTGAGGTGCTTATAAAGGGCGATGGTCCAAAGAGGCCCATCTGATCTGATGCTCTTTCATCCTCCTCCGTTAACCCCGTTCCCAAACGCCAGCATTCTTCACTTACCACTTTACCCTTTTCCTTTCCTCTCTAATTGTTATTCCCTTCTTTACTTTTCTTTTTGTTTGGAAAAAAATATTAGGTCCGGTTAACCTTTCTTTTAATTGAGTTTTCAAAAAATTTTCAAAAAATTACAATCAAACAAATTTTTTATGCTGAAAGAAAAAAATTAGATGAAAGGGAGAGAAGAAACGATAAATTAAATATCCTAGAAAAGATATTGTATCATTTTCTTTTTTTGTTTAATCAGATGGAACTGACAACTTACAATGAGAAAGTTTTTAATTATTTTTACCATTATTTCTATCACTGTATATATTTTTGTAATTTATGTAAAATAGTATTGTAATTTAAAATATTTATGAAAGGCCACACGTCATCCCCCTCCTCTTTAGCCTATATTTGGTGGAATGAAAATTTATGAAGAATGAAAGATGACTCTTACATCATATTTTCCTTCTCTCATTCTCTTTTTTCAACCAAATGAAAGAAGTTTGTTCATTCTTTTCTATCTTTCCTCCACCGAATAAAGCATTACACATTTTCTAATTTTCAATTATCCGAAAATAAAAAATTGTTCTTGTAAAACTTAACCAAATACGCTTGATATTTTTGTTTCAGTTTTGTGAGATTAATTTTTTATTTCGAGAAAATTTAAAATAAGAAGACAGTGCAAAAAGTTAAAAGTGTTTTAAGAGAACAATCATTTATTATTTTTCAAAAATATTTTTTATTATTTAAATTATTGATAATTGATTTTAGAAAACCAAACATTAATAAATGTTTGACTATATTTTGATATATTTTATTCACAAAATATTCTAATTTTGGAAAAAGCAATACCATTGGGAAGCAGTGGAATCAACATGATGAAATTGGGAAATGCTGGCAAAGGTGAATGACATGTCATCTGTGTACTACTACGTTTGGATAATTTCGAGGTGAAAGAAAGGATGGTATTTTTCTATTTTAGGTTTCCACTCATATTTCTGTCGGAAGAGAGTATATATACCAATTCGGCTAAGCCCTTTTATTATGGAATAAAATTAAACAAAAGAGTATAGTGTGAACCTATTTTCAATGAAAAAAATGTTCAAATAATTAAGGAAAAAAAATAAAGGAAGGGAAAACAATAAATTCTCATCAAATCTTATATTAAGAAAATTTGTGAAGGATGAATAATGACTGATTGATCCTATTTTTTTTTTTTTTTTTTCTGTTATCCCTTTTCTATCAAACTAAAAAATATTATTCATTCATTCCTATCCTCCCTTCACCCCATTTTCCTTCATTCCTTCCTTCCTACCTAACCAAGCATTACTGTTTTATAATTTTCAATTATCTAAAAATAAAAAATTGTGAAGGATGAAATATGACTTATTGATCCTATTTTCCTTCTCTTATCTCTTTTCTATCAAACAAAAAAATATTGTTTCTTCATTCATATCTTCCCTTTACCCCTTTCCTTCCTTCCTACCAACCAAACATTGTTGTTTTATAATTTTCAGTTATTTTGAAAATAAAGGCAAAACCAATAATCAATATCACCTGCTTGAGCTAATTTTTTTCTTTTTCCCGACTATGGTGGCGTCGGGCATCTTAAAATACTTCATAATTCACCACGAGACACATGCATCCCCCATTCCACACTCGAATTACCATTCAGAAGGGTTGGTTATCTCTCCCACCTTCTTTATTTCCAAATGAAATATAAAAAGATTAAGTGCAAAAAAAACCCCTCTACTATCAATATAAAGCAAAACAGTCACTGTGTGGTATAAAATCCCCATATACTATCAATTTGGTGCAATTACCTCCCTATTCGCATAAAAAGACATTAATATCCTTTTTAATATAAATTTCTGGGTTAAGTGCAAAAATAACCCTGATATATAGGGTTTGTGCATAAATAGTCCATACTTTTTGAAAATGTGCATTTCAGTCCATAAAATTCAAAAAATGTGCAAATAAGCCCCTCAGACCACTTTTTGGTCAAAATTGACATAAAATATATTCAAAAACCCCGTTTTACCCTTTTATTTTCCTATTCTACCCTTCTCTCTTATGCTCCGCCACCACCACCATCCTCATCACTACCACCACTAAGTTTATTCTAGCCATTCAATTCAACCCCGTAGCCAAAGTTCAGCGCTGATCTGTTGAGTTAACTCAGCGTGTCATCAAACAAAGCCACATCACAAGCCCTGTTGTTGGTGGCTGTTGGTGACTGTGAAGGATGGCAAGCTTGGGACGCCGTTAATATGTCATCAGTGATGGCAACTAATGAGAAAGGTCTGGATTTGTTGGTGTTTGTCGTTCGGTAAGGATGAGAGCTTGCCGCTGGAGTTTGGTTGACGGTGAAAAGTTGAGGTTTAATTCTACAACGATGAGACTAGGGGCGAAGCGGGAGGGGTGGGCTAACAAGGGCCTGGCCCCCCAAAAAATAAAAATTATTAGTATATACAAAAATAATAATAATAATAATAATAATAATAATAATAATAATAATAAATTAGTAAACTGGCCCCCCAACATTAGGGCACCCATCAGTTTGCCCTCTTTTTTGAGCTGAGAAGAGCGAGAGTTGCGAGAGTCTAGAGCGAAGTTGGAGAAAAAAACAGAGGGAGACTCGGGAGAGGAAATAGAAGGCCAGGCGACCACTAAAGGCTGAAGCTGCTCAGTCTGCTCAGAGATCTAGAAGGATCGAGGCTGCCAAAGCTCAACTCAAGGTCTGGACTCTCACCTATCTTTTGCCCTCTTTTTTTTTAAAAAAAAAAAAAAAAAAAAAAAAAAAAAAAAAAAAAATTTGGTAAAGTTTGGTAATCATGTTCTTGATCTGTTCACATGGAACAATTGTTCATTTCGATAAATTTGGTTTCTCTCTTTTCTTTAATTGACTGTGTTGCATCTACTTGATTACATTGAAAATTAATCTTAGATTTTGTAACTTTGACGAGTTTAGCATAATAATAAATAAATAAATAATTTAAGAATATCTTCATATAAGTCTTATAAGATAATATAAGAATCATCTTTTCTTTGATTGACTGTGCTGCATCTACTTGATTACATTGAAAATTAATCTTAGATTTTGTTACTTTGACCTTTAGGAGTTTAGCATAATAATAAATAAAATAAATAAATAAATAAAAATTGAAGATTATCTTCATATAAGATAATATAAGAATCAATCATCTTATTATAATGTTTTTTTTTTTCTGCCATTAAAGCAGATTAATAGGGTAACATATTCCTGAGCATCTGACTATATATACAATGAGGGTGCAATATTATTTTTACTCAATTATGCTTATCAGGAATTTAGGATCGATGGTTTAAATTACAATGTAAAACCCTAGGTATTAAAAATTTATATTTGAATTACCCTCTTTAGGTACAGTATTATACAATGGTGAAGCCAAAAAGAACTATTGACATTTTTTTTCAAAAAAATGATGTGCCTTTCGCGGCTTCCGCCTTTAATATTGATGTTTTGGTTCATGATAACCAACATTCTCCAAAATCTCCAAAAGTTAAACATACAAAAGTTGATCCTACCTTTTTAAAACATGATCCAGGATTACGTCGTCAAATATGGGATTATACTGTTGACAACCATGATGAAGTTCGATGAGCTTATATCAAAGCGAAAGCATACCAAATTGTGTTTTCAGTATATCCGCTTTCTGGATCGGAAAAGCATCGTCATCGATTTTAATCATCTTGGTTTAAATTATTTCCTATCTGATTAGAAAGCATATTGCTTACCTTGCTTTCTTTTTGGAGTGAAACCAGCAGGGCGTCCCAGAATCAACGTATTTACTAATTAAGGATTTTGAAATTGGAAAAAATTTAATGATGGCAATGGGTGCGCTTTCTTAAATCATGTGGGAGGAAGTCCATGTTCTGCTCATAACATTGCTGAGAGAGCATGTAAGGACTTAATGAATCAACCTTGTCATATTGATATAGTGATGGTTAGACAAACATCCGAACAAGTTTCAAATAATCGATTGAGATTGAAGGTCACAATTGATGCTGTGTAATGGGTTACTTATCAAGCTTGTGCTTTTAGAGGGCATGATGAATCCCTTCAATCAAGTAATCGAGGCAATTTCATTGAAATGGTAAAGACTTTTGTGTCATATAATGATGATGTCGCTAAAATTGTTCTTGAAAATGTTCCAAAAAATGCCAAGTATACCTCACCCCAAATTCAAAAGGAGATTTTGCACTGAGTCAGACTCTGATACCAACTGTGATACCCCTCGATTCTAGAGCCATGGGTGATCAAGTCCGAGCATAGATCCGAGGGAATATCAAACAATTAATATTTAATGCGAACACAGAATACAAGATGAAATAATAAGAAGTAAATAAAAATGGCTGAAAAGAATTCTAATTGAAAATCCTCAAAATAATGCTATAAATATCTAAACTCCAAAACCTCCAATTAATTAACAACTCAGGAATCCATCTAGTGGACCCTTAATAAAAATCCCAACTGTAAAATGAAATAACTGAAATAAGATCCAAAGCTAATAAGTAAGCAGTCCTACATAGTCGATAGAATAGAAGTCTGTATCTGTTCTGCACGACCAAACTCTAACCCTGGAACTGACGAGCACCTGAAAATAATAATAGAGTGGGTCAAGCCCACATGCAAGTCCTGATCTACCACAATCCAAACAAGAATCCAATACGCAGATACATCTTAGATAGACTCAACAATATCTAGAGTATTCCACATATGTATATATAACACACTATAGGACATTCATTAGTCCAATAGGTCTGTCTCAGCCTGAGTAGAGATACCATGCAAATCGCACATTACGTGGTCATGTGTACCTAGACGTACCAGGGAACATCACCTCTGTCCAGCTATCC